GGCCCTAGCCCAGACAGCTCCAGCTCCGTTTCTTCCTTCCCTGGGGCTGTGGGAAATACCAAGGTGATCCTATTCATTAATTACTACTATTATGTTAATGGTCGTACATATGTTCTGACAGCTAAAATGCTTATGCCTCTAAAAGAGAGCCCTTTTAAATACGTTTAATTAAAATAAATACAGGAAGCAAAGAAGTGGGCCCAAAGAAGGAAGAATTTTTATTCTCTTATGTTTTAGGACTATAAAATAATAGTAAGTCACCTATTCCCTTCATGTTAAGAATTAGCTCATCTTTGAAGATTGAAAAGTCTGAAAAACTAAGCAAAAATTATTTCAAAAAATAACTTTACAGTAATATTCTATGACAATTTGGTTACAGAATTAGCAATAATAATAATAATGTCTACGAGGCAAAGCCTTTGGCATCTGGAGTTATGAACTCGGATCTGTGCTCTGCTCTTCGCCGATTACAGAACTTTGAGCAAGTAAAGTAACTTCTGAGTTTTAATCTCCTCGTCTATAAAATGGAAATCCTAATATTTCACAGGGTAGTTGAGAGGATTAAGTAGCTAATGCATGACAGATCCTTAATACTGAGTCTAGTCAGGCCAGGTTTATAGTTAATGCTGATTATCATTTAAGTTATGGAATGGCTGGCAGTCTTGGGAGGCCCCTTGCTGGAAACATCCTGCCAGGTGTCACTCGTAGGCATGAAAGTGATCAACAAGATTTTGAGGCTTGAATCATTCTTCAACTAAGAAAATTCTTCGCTTAGTTTTAACATCACAAATCTCAGCGTGTAGATGTAGATTACCAATGCCACACATTATTCTCTTATAGAAATGGCCTTGACTTAGGCCTGATCCTCCTGCCAAAGCTGTTAGACATATGGATGCAGAAAAAAAGAAAATCAGAATTGCAAAAAACAGACTTCTGTTTTTGAAGGGCGAAGTTGACTCTGGAGGCACATTTCCAGGATTGACTAGTTATGGTCCTTTCCAAAGGTCCTCTTTTATTTTTGAATCAGTCCTTCAATCAATAAATATTTATTGTGTGTCTACTATGTGGCAACCTTTGGCTTTTGGGTAACATCAGTGAACAAGGCAGGCAATAACCTGACCTTAGTATAAGCACTCAATAAATATGGAAACATAAAAGAATTTCCTAGAGTGTAAGTGCTATAAACAAGATATGTTATTGTAGTGGGAAAGAGAGGGATGAGGAGGGAGGAGAGGGGACTACTTTGGGCCCCAGTGAAAGTTCCTCTGAGGAGTTGTGCACTTTGGAGTAGAAGCCTGGGTGAGAAGAAAGAGACGGCCTGGCCAGGGCCTGGGGAATCATCTTTCTAGGCAGAGAACAGCAAGCTCAAAGACCCTGAGAAGAGGAGGTGCAGGGACAGACAAATGTGGGGCTGACCTGAATTTCAGCAAGGAGACAGGTGGATGATGTCTCCCTCATGAAGGGCTTTCTGGTCATGGTAAGGAATTTGGCTTTGTTCAAATTCAAGGAGAAGTCATTACAAAATTTGAATAAATTGATGCTATTACATTTGTAACCAAAAAATCAGTCTGGCTGCTGTGTGGAGAATGGGCTATAGGGTCATAAGAGTGGTTGTAAGGACTTCTGAGAGAAGATTGCTGCAGTGGTCTAGTCAAGAGAGGCAGGGGCTTAGATGAAAGTGGTGAGGGTGAGAAGTACTTGGGAATTGCAGCCCTCAGGACCTGGTGCTCTATGTGATGGGTGAGGGGGAGAGGGGATGGTGCCTAGATTTGTGGGCTGAGCAATTGCATGGATGGTGGTTGGTGTTAGTAACTGGGATGGGGCAGTCTTGGGGAAGAGAAACACTGTAGGGGCGGATCTTGAGTTTTGTTTTGGACACATTCAGGTATTTTTAGCCATCCAAGTTTAAGTATCTAGTAGATAGATGGATAAGACTCTGGTGTTCAGAAGTAGGATCAAAGCTGGAAAAATATAGAAAGAAGTTGTCTGGATGCAAGTGGTTGTTAAAACTGTCAGACTGGGTCTGAAAGCTCTAACCCCTGCAACACACAGAGGCCTGCTGAAAAAAACAGGAGCCAGTAGAGGAAATGGGTTGGGGGGGGGGGGACAGTGACCAAGGACAGGAGAGAAAAGCCTAGAGAAGACTGGAAAAGAAAATATTCAGGAAGCAGGTGGCAGATTCTACTGAGAGGTCAAGTTAAAGGAGAGGGGAGAACTGAGAATTGCTTGGCTTTGTATAAGCCGGTGAAATGTCATCAGTGGCTTGAGAGCCCACCTCTGCAGAGGCATGGTGGGAACTAAGGCTTGACTCAGCAAATTTAGGTGAGATTAGAGACAGGAAGGTGTAGGGAAGCAGAATACACGACCCATTGGAATTTGTCTTACTGTGAAGGAGAGCAGGCTCAGTGCCTGTGGCTCAAGTGGCTAAGGTGCCAGCCACATACACTTAAGGTGGCAGGTTCAAATCCAGCCCGGGCCCAAAAAACAACAATGATGGCTGCAACCAAAAAATAGCTGGCATTGTGGTGGGCGCCTGCAGTCCCAGCTACTTGGGAGGCAGAGGCAGGAGACTTGCTTGAGCCCAGGAGTTGGAGGTTGCTGTGAGCTGTGATGCCACGGTACTCTACCTAGGGGGATAGCTTGAGGCTCTGTCTCAAAAAAAAAAAAAAAAAGGAGAGCAGAGACATTGGACATAGGTAGAAGGGGATGTAGGCTTATGGGAGAGAGAGAGATTTCTTTTTCTTACAATAGTTGAGTATAAAACAAAGAAAAAATAATGACCAGCACATTGATGAGAAGAAATGAAAATCATTATTGCGAGTTCATGATATCACCAGACATCTTACATTAGTCTGAATGTGGATAGGATAAGCAGCTTGCTTTCTGTTAATACCCAGGACCAGTTATACTGAAGGAATGGGGCCCTGGGGATTTAAAAAGGCTGTAGAAACTTTAGAGCAACACGAAGAAAACATGTTTTGAGTTTCAAGCAATTGGCTTGTAAACAAACTTTTGGAATACAACCAGCTTTTAAACTTGACAGCGCCTGGATTACATTAGAACCAAGGAAAAACTGGCTAATTTAATGGGTGCCCGGGTGCCAGTGAGCTGAATAAACTAACTTATGTGATTCCAGATTTTGTTTCTTGTTAATCTATCTGACTAGGTAATTAGGGTACGTAATCGGCATGAAGCACAAGGCTAAGTATAATTGTCGTTTACAAGTTCACACAGGCAATGCTGCGTGCTGTGTTAGAGGGTAGGAGAATAGCGTAGAATGGCGAGCCTGCAATTTCTGTTGAAATTATAAATACAGATGTTCCTTTTTGCAATGAAATCTGCTTCTCAGAAACTACTAAGGGGCCTCATAATCAGGTAAGATTTAGAAATTCTGGGATGGTGAACTGTGGATGGTTTTCTTTAAATGCCTAGTGAAAAATCTTCCTGGAACCTCAGTTAAGGCTTAATAAAGAAATAAGTACATTTGTATGTGAATAGAAGCTTAATTAGTAAAAATGATTCCAAGTTGTCCTGAAATCATTTGGTTTCAAATGACTTTTGGACATTTCCTCAAATTGGACATATCCTCAAAAGACAAATATATGTCAGCAATGAGGCTCTTCAAAGGAATGCCCTGGGACCTGGGCGCCAACACTCAAAGAGGAGGTCCCAGTGCATTTTGCCAAATGGGAGCAATTTTGGAACAGGTGTAACTCTCTCCCAAATCATTACTGTGAAGAGGCTGATACTTGCTAAGATGTACATGTTTTGGGGGTGGCCTTGATAAAAAAAAAATGATTTTTTTATTAGTCAAGTATTATATGGATTTCTCTAGCCCTAATGTTTAGCAATGACTTTTGTGATATAGATTAGCAACATTTTTGACATTTTAGGCTTAGGAAGCTGAGAATTAGTAATCAAAATTAACTGTTCTAATTTTAAGTGGCTGAATTAGGTATTGCTATAAAGCAAAGAAATTCACTTTATGTGAACAGAATTCCACAATAGAAGCTCCAACTAATGGTTTGGGAAGCTGCGGCATCATTGGGGTACCATGATCAATTCCTAATACAACTTCTTTTTTTTTTTTTTTGAGACAGAGTCTCATTATGTTGCTCTAGGTAGAGTGCTGTGGCATCACAGCTCACAGCAACCTCAAACTCTTGGGCTTAAGCAATTCTCTTGCCTCAGCCTCCCAAGTAGCTGGGACTACAGGGACCTGCCACAACACCCGGCTATTTTTATTGTTATTGTTGTAGTTGTCATTGTTGTTTGGCAGGCCCAGGCTGGATTCGAACCTGCCAGCCCCGGTGTATGTGGCCAGCGCCCTAGCCACTGAGCTACAGGAGCCGAGCCAAATATGACTTTTTGAAGGGGAACACTCATGTGTATGTGTTTCTTCTGGAGTATTTGCTTATCAAAGAACTGAACTTCAGTGATTTGTAGTCCTACTTAATAAAGCTATCTCAGAGTTCCACAGCATCTCCCCAATTCCCTAAGGAATGGGTGATGACAGGCATATGTTACTCCTAATCCCCATGTTCTAATAAGCTGAAACAGGGAGCAACTTATTTGGGAGTTTAATTCAGATTACATTTATTATACCAGGATCAGTGTTTTACCAGCTATGCTTTATTTCTTGTAGATAATAGTAACAAAAAATCAGCTCAATTTAATCATTTCACAATGTAAACATATATCAAACATCCTACTGTACCCAATATATAACATATACAATTATTGCTTATCAGTTAAAAATAAACTTAATCCTAACTACCTTGAATAAATCATTATGCACTATATACCTGTATCAAAATATCACATGTACCCCATCAATACTAATAAAAAATACAAAAAAAAAAACCCCATTTAAAAAAAAATTTTCCAAGCATGCCTTTCCCACATATGTGATTTAAATGATAATCCACCATAAACTAGATATCTTTCTTGTAAATAAGTACATGACTCATTTAAGGGGGTTATATATTCGCAAAACTTACATGAACATGCCCTCTGGGGTCATTCGTCCAGCTTGAATTAAATAGGCTCCAAATCTAAACCCTGCTGCATAGGCAAAATATATGAAAGCGTGGCTGAATGCATAGCAGCTTCCGATGATCTGTGCTTTCTTCAAGGTATTTCTGAAATGTATAAAATTTACCAAATAATGAGGCATGAGTTATAGCAAGGTCAATTTAATAAACGTAGCATAATAAACATAGAGGACTTTGAAATGCCATAATTTAGTGGATATGCATTTTTCTAAGGGTTAAAGAGGTCATTTTTTCTACTATTGAGAATTATTTTAGAGAAGACAGTTACTATAATAATTTTCATTGTAGCTAATAAACTATAGCAGTATAACAAAGTTGCCTTTATATACTTTCCAATGAATGGACAGTCAGTGAAAGGATAGCTAGTATAAGAGTTAAAGAGATTTGGTTTAGAGATACATAGAAATATTCTTTAACTTTCTATCATCATCTTGCATTAACAGAATAAACGGTGGAAATTAAAGAGTGGTAGCAACAACAAGCATCAGGCCCACTGAGCACAAAGCTATCTTTCTGATAAAGTAATACAAAGAGCAGCGCTAAGCCAACATGATAAAAGGGACTAGTTTAAAATTTAAAGGAGTAAGCACAATTATTGTGTATATATTTGTTTAACAATGTAAACTATTTGGGAGACTTAATGTAAGGGCTGAGCAATCTTATTTTCTTTCTTGAATATGTTACTTCATCAATCTTCTTGAGGACTTAAAATATTTATTCTTGGTTTTCTTTGCTTGTTTGTTTGTTTTGTTTTGAGACAGGGTCTCACTCTATTGCCCAGGCTACAGTGCAATGGCATCATCCTAGCTCCCTGGAACCTCAAACTCTTGGGCTCAAGCGATCCTCCTGCCTCCGCCTCCCAAGCAGTTGGGCTGATGACAAGGCATATGCCACCATGCCCGGCTAATTATTTTATTTTAAGATATTTATTCCAATAGTGCTTAATTTTGATTCCTTTTCCAATATCCTCTTGGTGAAATCATATGAGAAATCATGATATGCCATTATTAGGAAAGATACCAGAGCAAATGAATCAACAGACAAACCGCTGGAGTCGTTCAGCCATTTTCACCTTGGAGAACAAAACAGTTAATGGAATGGACAGGAATCCACATCACCTGTGTTGCGTCTGAAGCGTCTCTTCATACATTTGCTCAAAGGCTTTTTCCCTTGTTAATGACACGATTGTACGCATATTCTCCACAGCTTCAGTTGCGATCTTATGAAATAGGACAATATAGAAATAAAATTAGTCATGGGTAAACTTTTCCTGGTTGTACATTGCAGTCCCTTAAACCCTGGGGATATGTTCAGTATGTGAAGCCAATAAGTTTTCCTGACAAGTATTTCTGGCTTCCTTCCCATCCAGCCCCGAACAAAAATAGGAAAATGACACTTAAGAGGAATGAACATCAGGAGAATTTCTTCTGAAAGTTTTAGTCCACGGATCTAAGGTTAGCCCCCTTCAAGTTTTCACTGAATTTCAATTTAAACTGCTGCCATAGCCCAGGAAATCAAATTATTAGTGACATTATGTTCCTATGCAAAGCAGCTTCCTATAAATTATGAAATAATTGAAGTAAAAGGTAGCAGAGAGAATCTAATCATTATTTTATTCCAGTACAGAAATGTGAATAGCCGCTAAAAAGGATGCAGGAACATTCCAGTAAGGTGACACAAGCTGGAATGTGCTCTGTGTCATTCTGAAATTCTTTTTCTTTTTCTTTTTTTTTTTTTTCAGTTATTGGCCAGGGCTGGGTTTGAACCCACCACCTCCAGCATGTGGGGCCAGTGCCCTACTCCTTTGAGCCACAGGCACCGCCCCCATTCTGAAATTCTTTATAAGATAAAGCTGTTTTTCATTTTGAAGTCTATGAACTTAGAAAGATTCTTAAATATGGTTAATGTCCCTTAATATTTATATAGTTTTAAAAAAATAATGCATAATTACATAAGATTTAAAGTGGAGGTGTCTTAGCTTAGAATAATAACTTTTTGGATATGAGAACACATATTGGCTTCGAAGAGAAATTTTCTGTTTTCAGATTCCATTTGTAGGCTGGCAGAATGGGCTGGGGACAGAGGAGACCTGGGTGGACACTCAGCATTATCTAAAGGACTACTTGGGCTGCAGAAGAAAAATAAATCTCTTGATCGTGGTCAGGATTCCTGGATTCTGCTCTCAATTTTGATACTGAGTTGTTTTAATTTTTTTTTGCGGTGGGGGAGGGGAGAGACAAAGTCTCACTATGTTACCCCTGGGAGAGTGCTGTGGTGTCACAGCTCACAGCAACCTCAAACTCTTGGGCTTAAGCAATTCTCTTGCCTCAGCCTCCCAACGAGCTGGGATTACAAACACCAGCCACAGTGCCTGGCTGGCTGTTTTTCTGTTACAGTTGTCATTGTTGTTTAGCTGACCCGGGCCAAGCTTGAACTCACTGCCTCCCGTGCATGTGGCTGGTGACCTCACTGAGCTATGGGCGCCAAGCCTTAAATTCTTGCTAATTTGAAAATGAACTCAAGGAAACTTCCATTTGTAACATATTCTATAGTATACAAAGAAAATGGGTAAGAATGCTGAATACTTGTTTGAGGGAAAAGAAAAAACATCAAAACCTTTCTGACCGTTTTACACAATGAAGAGTATTATTACAGAACCTCAGGAAAAACTCTTTTAGAAAAACTAATACAGCTACTTTAAGTCTGAAAAATAAAACATTTGTTGATTTGTCCAAATCTTCACACGCAACTGAAGAAAGACTCATATATTTTATGGGTCTATGTTTTGAATTAGCGTTTGGGAAACTGACATATTCAAAGCCATTGGGAAAGGCCTCGATTGCCTGTTTGACTGGCGTTACTCTGAGTGTAGAGTCTGAGGTTATTCCAATGACACAGAAAGGAAATGTCAAAGGACACCTATACAACTACAGGTCAGGACGAAAAAATAGGACGTGTAAAATATAATTGATTGGGCCTTGTTAATTTACAAATTGTGCAAATTATCACAATGTTTGTGTCATATAGGGTGGGCTAAACAACTGTCCACAGTCTCTGAGGCAAATGTTTGCGAAGTAGTTCAGTCTATAGAGCCCAAGGCAAACATTCCAAGGGTCCTTATCTACTGCAAGAAAGGCAGAAAGGTCCAAGGGTCAGGTAAACCAGACAACGGTGAGGAGTAATGTGCTTGGCATCTCAGTTCATGAATATTCATGACATTTATACCCTGCAAGCTGAGATGCAGTCACTATGATAGAGACTAGAAGTGGTATTAAAATCCTTTTTGTATTTGGAGGAGGTTCACCAATGTGGTAAAAGTCATTGAAACTGTATCATGAGAGGAGCAGCTTAAAGAATGGCCATCAGAAAATTCAGTATTTACATAATTCAGTTTCTGAGAGGCTGTCAGAAAAAATAGGAGTTGGACCTTTATCAAGGTGGAAGCCAAGAAGAGTAAGATAAAGGGTCACCAAAAAGGCTGGGAGAGGTGGCTCATGCCTGTAATCCTACGACTGGGAGGCCACAGTGGCTGGACTGAGCTCAGGAGTTAGAGACCAGCCTGAGCAACATTGAGACCCCATCTCTAAAAAAATACCTGGGCATTGTGCTGGGTGCCTATGGTCCCAGCTACTCAGGAGGCTGAGGCAAGAGGATCACTTGAATCCAAGACTTTGAGGTTGCTGTGAGCTATGACTTCATAGTACTCTCCTGAGGGTGACAAAGTGAGACTTTGCCTCCAAAAAAAAAAAGGTTACCAAAACACAAAAACAAAACAAGTCCTCCTTACTACCCAAGGCTATCCAAGGGTAGGCAGCCTGGAAAAGCCATGTACCACCTGCCACTGGGGGAGGGGAAGATGTGTGCCCCCTGACAGGATGTTTTATAAGGGACCCCTACTTCACATGAGTGGCTGGATCAAGTGATGTTTCTTTTAATTCTTAGATGTTATGATTCTAATATGTTTGATGCTAAGAAGCTTAAAAGCTTTGACCTGTATGTCAAAGCATTTTCCAAATAATAAAATAAGTTGTTCATTTTGATCAGTATAAAAATGTTTGTCTTTAAAACCTTGTTTTAGGCACTGTCAATTATTAGTCATTGCCTTGTATTCAGTAACTCCTATGCTTTCTGTTTGTTTTGAAAAATAAAATGCCAGAAGAATTCCTCAAGAACATTTAATTATTCAATGATCAGAGAATGGGAAATCATGATGTTAAAAATTCCTCCATGTCATGGTGGCAATGTTAATGGCTGACATTATCAAGTGCTTATTGCCGTCTGGGCACTATTCTACGTGTTTTGCATAGAATAATGCTAAATAATCCACTTTGCAAGTGGATACTATTATAATAATAGTCCCACCTTACAGAGGAGAAAACTGAACTTTATACAGGTTGACCAAACTTACTCATATTTGTTAGTGATAGTCTGGATTCTAACTCAGCCAATGTGAGCCAGAGTCTTCACTTTAAATCATACACTGTATTACAGTCTCACCTAAACTGGTCTGTATGCTTGTGTGTATATATATACACACACACATATATCACTTTCCAGATTCCTAAGAGATGAAGTTAACATCTAATAAAGATGGGAGCTCTGATTATGTTTCTCCTACAATGTTACGATGGTAATAAGAGTCTTCATTTTACCTTTCCAGCACGCTGAAGTTCTTGCTTGTCCTTGCTGGCAAATCCAGTCATTGTTGCGGTTTCGATCATTCCTGTCAGAGCAAGCACTGGAGCAATACTGAGAATCAGGAGTGTCATCTCCCATCCGTATATGAAAGAAATGATCACTGACAGCCCCATGTTAGTTGCATTTTGTGTTAAGACACCAATTCTTGAACCTGTTGCCTATAATCAGACATATTTTGGAGAAAAAATTTAGTTAACTTTAAATTTATAAGAATTTCTATTAAAGTTCTTTGCAAAACAATGTAGACATTCTTTTTTTTTTTTTTTTAGGATTTATACTTAGGTTTATACTTTAAATTTATACTTAGAGATTAAGTAAGATATGGACAGAGGGTGCCAAAAATGTATGTGCATTTTAAGAAAGGAAAAAACTATTAAATTTATAATATTCAATATATAGCAGTCAAATGTGTGTTACAAATTTAACACAGTTTTCCCCCTTTCTTAAATTTTGTATAAATTTTTTTGTCACCCTCTGTATTTTTCAAATGCCCTTGACTAACAAATCCTTTTGTTTCATTTTTCTGTCTATGTTGAGCACTGGCCTTTAGTGGAGCCATAGGACAGAGTAGGGAAGGGGGACCGAAACAGCCTATTCAAAATTGAATACTACCTACTTAAGGGGAGACTTGTATGTTTATGTTGCTCTGAGATCTCTCCTTAAATAGTTTTGAAGGATTTCACACCGTAATCCTAGTTAAGTATGTTGAAAGCTAAGCTAAGTTCTAGGATTTATTCTGTCTTCCCAGTGATGGGTACACACCCACACTCTTCTTATTGCCTTACACACAAACATGCAGCAGTAGTAAAACAACACACGTGTGCATGCGCACACACATACACACACCCCTACCTGTTCAACCCTAACTTATGGATAAGCTCTTGGTATTATAACTGATGTTTGAAAATGGCAGAATCATAGTTACCATTAAAAAAAAACAAACTAAAGGCCTGTATGGTGGCTCATGCCTGTAATCCTAGCACTCTGGGAGGTTGAGGTGGGTGGATTGCTTGAGCTCAGGAGTTCAAGACCAGACTGAGCAAGAACAAGATCCCCATCTCTACTAAAAATGGAAAAACTAGCTGGAGATAGGGACATATGTCTGTAGTCCCAGCTACTTGGGAGGCTGAGGCTAGAGGATTGTTCAAGCCCAAGAGTTTGAGGTTGCTGTGAACTATGATGACGCTATAGCACTCTACCCATGGAAACAGAGTCACAATAAGCAAACCAAAGAGAAAGAAAAAGGGGGAAAAAAACTAAAAAACAAGCAAATCTTCAGTTAAGCATTTTATACTCTTTAATACTAATAAAGTTGTGGTCACATTTGCCATGGATTTTATTGTAAATCCATATTTAATGATTAATAGCATGAAGGTACCAATTTTACACATAATCATAACAGACATGTATTTAAAATTTAAGTGTTTGGCAAAGATGATTTGAATTATGCATATACTTTCTTTTTGAAAGTTTGCAAAATCTATTTCATGGAGTGTAAAAAGAAAGAGAATGTTACATTTTAGCCTACATATTTTCTAAAATAGAATCTAATTCACCTTAGGCAACTGTCTAAGATGACTTGTTAATTTTTATTTTAATGGGAAAAATTTGCATTATTGAACCTCTAAAAATAAGACTTTTGTCTATTTTTGTACGTTTAACCTTTCACATGAATTCTTTCTTTCTTTCTTTCTTTTTTTTTTTTTGAGACAGACTCTCACTTTGTCACCCTTGGTAGAGTGCAGTGGCATCACAGCTCACAGTAACCTCCAACTCTTGGGCTCAAGCGATTCTCTTGCCTCAGTCTCCTGAGTAGCTGGGACTACAGGTGCCTGCCACAATGCCCAGCTATTTTATTTTTTGTTTGTTTGTTTAGTTTAGTAAGCCTGGGCTAGTTTCAAACCCACCAACCCCAGAGCACATGGCTGGTGCTCCAACCTAAGCTACTGCCACCCAACCACAAAGTTAATATTTGATAGCCAACTGCCATCTACTCCTTGGACTTCAAGTTTTGTCAATTGTCTCAATATCTTTGATAGCATAAGGATCTCCAACTCAGAATCACATATTTCATTTAGTCATAATGCTCTTTAGTTTTCTTCAATTTGGAATAACTTTTTGTTCTTACCCTGATGTTCCCAACCTTAACCCTTTTGATGATTATAGGCCAGTTATTTGGTAGAATGTCTCTCAGTTTTAGCTTCTCTGATATTTTCTTGCAATTTTGCATGTTTGGCAGGAACACCCCAGAAACGATGCTGTGTTCTTCTTGTTGCATCCTATTCTGCGGCATACAATTTTGATTGGTCCTATTCCTGGTGTTTTTCACTTTTAAAATTAAGTAAAATGGTGTCTTCTAGGATTTTTATTATGAAGTTGGAGTAACTTCATAATTGTCCCTTCATGTTGTCTTTGTTATCCTTTGACATGTCTCTATCATTCTTTGAATATATCCTTACTTTCTGAGACAAAAAGATTTTCCAAGTTCATCCTGTGCTATCTCTACCTTACTGTTGAAATCAGCCATTTCTGTAAAGATCCCTGGTTCCTTAGAGTGGAGAATATTATTTAGCAGTCCAGGTATGGTGCTAGTTGTGCTTATTATTATTGGAATGCCAGTGGACAGAACTAGAGAATGTGTGTGTATTGATAGATACGTGCACACATTTGTATGCACATTTATTTCTTTATCTAGGTAGATTTCTTGAGATACATGAGTCACGTCAATACCTCCAATTCCAACCCAGTACCACAAGCTTATTTCCAGTTTTCTCCCTTTCCGTATTTCTTATACCCTTCTTCACAAGTGAGAAGCCTGGCTCCCAATTTCTTTAATAGATTGATGTGCATGATTGATTAATCTGCATGTAACCAATTTATTCTCAGGCCCTCTGCCTCGCTCCTACATGGACATCTTCCTTACCCTGCTGGGGTTCCCCACACTGGCCGCCACCAGCCAGGATGTCACCATTTCTGGGCTTCAAAAACCAACCCTCTCATTCCCCAAACTGATGGAAGGTCAGCACTGTTAGCCGCTATCATAGTAGTGTTGAGCTGAATGATTAAGCATATTTATTAAAGTGCATTCTTTGGATATATTATCTGTCATTCCTTTTTTTGTACTTTATAAATTGGTTTCATTGAGTAAAGATCTAAAGAGGGATTATCAAAATACAAAAGGAGCTGGAAACATAATGCTATAGAGTAAGATAAAAGAAATTCTAAAACAAGTCTTCAAATAAGAAAGATTATATTTATAACTGTTTTATAAGAAGGGCATATTTTATGGGCCATCTTTTAGTGGGACACATGATACTTAAGAAATATACTGAAAAAAAAAGAAATAAACTGAAATGTTAAGTTCCTTTAGTGCTGGGATGAAAAAATTAAGGACTTTTATTTATTTAGAAACAGAGCTATTATCAACCACATTTTAAAACATATATTTTGTACTTACCATGAAAACATGATCATTAGAAGAAGTTTAGATAATGTTAAAACTTGTGTCCTTCCTGACATAGATACTCACACACATTTAACTTAGGAGTATTGTGTGTATGCAGTTTTGTATCCTGATTTTATTCCTTTACATTATATTATACATACATTCAAAGAAAGCACAAAGATATATATATACACACACACATATATGTACACATGTACATATATATGTATATGAATTTGAAATTAAAAACGGAAAGTCATGATTAAATCTTTAGATAACAATTATCTATAAGTATCCGCTATGCCTAAGGTTTTATGCTGGATGTGGGGAATACAACTTACATAAGAAAATTACAGTAAATATGGAAGAATGGCTAACATAAGAAAATGAATGGAAGAAAACTTGGTATGCAATTGTGGAAATAAAATTGTATATGGCAAGATTTCTGCTTCTGGCAAAGATGAAATAACAAGGATTTTCCCTCCCACTTAAAAGAAACAAACAAACAAAAAATAGACAAAATACATCAACCAGTGGCTTTTGTCTTGGTGCCTATAGCTTAAGCGGCTACAGGAGCTCCACATACACTGGAGCTGGTGGGTTCGAATCCAGCTCTGGCCTGCCAAACAATGACAACTGCAATCAAAAGATAGCAGGGTGTTGTGGTGGGTGCCTGTAGTCCCAGCTACTTGGGAGGCTGAGGCAAGAGAATCGCTTGAGCCCCAGAGTTTGAGGTTACTGTGAGCTGTGACGCCATGGCACTCTACCAAGGGCAACATAGTGAGACTCTGTCTCAAAAGAAAAAAGAAAAAAGAAATTAGTGGCTTTCAAGACAAAAGGCAAACCAAGGGCAGAAATGACAAAAAAGGTGAGCCTGTGATTGCCCCAGCTCACTCCCTCAAAAGACATCCCAGATGGCAGTGTAGAAAGCAAACTGAAGTTGAGCCCAATCGACTCTGAATTGAGTAGAGAAAGCTGAGTATCTGAGGATTCTAAGCCAGATGGAGTCTGCAGCACTGATACCAGAGAAGGGGGAGGTACACAGAAAGATAAACAGGGATATCTGCAGAAGGGCCTCCTTGAGCATTTAGCTGAGCAATGCATTCAAGTCAGGCCTGGGAATAATTTGTGGTCACACCAGCCAGACTAGAAAACCGTACAATTCACAGGGGATTATGTAGATATGTAGAAGGCCCTTGCCTTCCTAATAGGCTCCAATCCTGCCTAAAGTCCCTTAAAGTCAAGATCCAAAAGGATCAAATGGCTCCCAGGTAACCTAACTGCAACCCAGAATAAAACTCAAGAATATTTGTAGAAATATAAAAATATGTGGCACCAAATATGTCAAATTCATAATGTGTACCATCCAGTCAAAAATGACCAGGTATGCAAAAAGTACCAAAATAGGACCCGTGATGAAGATAAAAAATTAAACAACTGAAACAAAGCCAGAAGTAACAAGATGTTAGACATGCCATATGATTTAACTCATGTGTAGACTCTGAAAAAGCCAAATTCACAGAAACAGAGAAGTAAAATGGTTGGAGGGATTGGGAAGATGTTGGTCAGAGAACACAAAATTTCATTAGAAAAGAGAAATAACTCTATTGTACTTCATGATGACCAGAGTTAATGATAATACACTGTATACTTGAATACATTTTAAAAGTTATCACCATAGAAAAAAATATGTATACGAAGTACTGCATATGT